AGAGACAGATGAGAGCTATAACAATTAATAACTTATGAGTTAGATTCTCTCCTCTCGTGCAGGCTTCGCTTTCTGCCTGTAATTATGACTCTCTCTCTAAATCCCTCCCTTTCCCTCCTCTCCCCCACTACGCAATCCCTAAAACTGGAAGAGAGTCCAGTTCTCACTCTGACTTTGTTTATCCTCCCAGCGCCAAGCAGCTGGCACAACAAACAAACGCGGGAACACAAAGCTTCGGCGAGAGACAATCAATAACCAGACAAATAAAAGAAAAGTACAAGCAAACATGTGAACAGCTCCAAGTCAAGCAGCACTTAGTGAAGAAACAGCATCCTACTCTCACCTGCTCTCAATCTTTCCCAGCTGAATGAGTGACTGGCGTCTTACACACAACACTGTGTGAGTGACTCACAGTGACTCACGCGCAGTTGGCTTCATCTACTAATCTACATCACCGTTCAGCTTCATGTTATCATGCTACAAACAGCTGTTTAAATTCAAGTACTAATGTTCCATAAGATGCCTGCTGTGTATCTGAGCGAATGTGCACAAACACACACACTGTGCACACTCTACTGCGCATGCACAACAACGCTTGACCAGCTGTTTTTTGGCAATGATACAGAGCGGGTAGGGCTACACACACAAACCTCCAGGATATATATTAACGCACTGGCCGACGCTACATCACATGCATCATGTGACTACTTTAAGTAAACAAACACATTTTACAAAACAGACTTTTACTGAAAAAGTGACAGGCTGTCACTTTGAGATGCGATCAGATTGAAGGAAAGGAGTCCATTTCTAAAAAGACCGCACCTTTTGTTCACTCCAGTTGAAGTCTTTTATAATTATATCATAATTTCATGTTACGTAACTGACTTTAAACTGACAGCAGGAGTGTAGAAGTAAAAAAAGGAGATGGAAAAAGACAGCTGTGATTCCAATGAAATACAGGGAATAATAACATGGATACTATTGTGTTGCAGGCACAATAGGAAAATAGATTGTAAATAGGACAGCAACCTTCTTGTATATAAGGAAAATCAATGGTTGCCTGATTGCATCAAACGTTTTTGGTATTGGTGACCGATTACAGGTAGTTGCGTTGACCAGCTGGTCACCCAGAGGCTGAACATGCGACATACACAAACTCTGAGCGATCACACAGGTCAGCTGGTGGAAGGCGACCTGTTTTGCCTGTATTGCATACAGATTGCATGTAACTCATCTCTAACTGATAGCACAATGATACAATAGCTTGTTGTCGTTTTATTGCAGCTGACTGTGAGCGTCCACAGATCTTCGAAGCAACCATTTCAGAGGCAGCAAGTTCACGGCTCACAGCTTCAAAAAGTTGGGTCTTACTGCATTCTCCAACCACTGTTTCCCCTAGTGTGATTGCACTATTAACAACCACAGCATAATTATAGTCCGGAAGCTTCACCAGTTTAATGCAAATCTAATCAAGTTGCTTCTTGAACCATTTCCATGTTTGTTAACAAATTTTGCATTTCACTCTACTCTTGCAAAACAGCTTAAATGGAAGCTGTAAGTCTACCATAAAAGTAATGAGAAGAAATCTGTGCAGCTATATTTGTGTGTTGTGCTTCTAACACGCCCATTCACACACAAGTTAGAGTAGCCAACTGAGATGGATTAAATACAGTAGTATTCAAATCTTTGTAAATCTTGAGAAGAACACAAAAGGCCTGTTCACTGCAGGAGCTTTTACAGAAGCTCCTGCAGTGAACAGGCCTTTTGTGTGGAACATACAAATGTGTGGAACAGAGATTATATGACAAAGAGAGAGACAGAGTGAGACAGTTTATAAGAGAACTGTCCAAGTCACTATGTAAATATGTCAGTATGATCACATATATGCTGCAGCAATCATGATGCTCCACAAAAACTCGTTATTTGTCTCTGTTAACCGATCAGCCGACACAACACAATAGCGTTACATACTGTAATTCTGTCAGTAAAGACGATAAAGAAAAAGTACTGGTTGATTCACTTTTTGTCATTAAGGATAAACAAAAAAGACACACACACAAAAAATTACATTTTGATCAAGAAATTGTCTGTTTTCATTGGACAAACAGCTCCGCTGCACTACACAGAATCCTGTGAAAGAACCAAATCCCACCAACTTTGCTGCTTTTGCCGCTATCCAAGTAAAATGAATGCAAGAAGAAGAATCATATATCTAATAAATCAATGTTTTAAATGATGACATGATAACTTATTATTATTTCTAATATTATTATGGAGACATGCCACCACCATGCTGATAAGCTAATACTGCATTACCAAGTTTGTAGGTGTAATTTTATTTTAAGCTCACTGTGTAGGTTCCAGGATTACTGTCAGCAGTCAGTCATCTGCAGCTTCCCACAACATAAACTAACAATATGTCAGAGTTATCCAGTAATCTGATTTCTCTCCAAAGCTAAACCCAACGAGGAACTGTAGACTGCAGGCTACACAATAAATATGCTTATATCACCCAGGTACAGTATAGGCACAACTCTTCATGTTGCTAAGCAACCACCATACTCTTACTTCTTTGTAGTAGTCATAAACAGAGAAGAAGAGATCCAAAGTTAAGAGCAAGGTATTGAAAAAAACCTAAAGACACTGTGTAAGTGACACAAGAAAACATGCAGTAACAGAGTGGGATGGCCTAGATCTGACTTCAGATTATCTGCTCACAACACTGAAACAAAAGCACTATCTTAGGTACTGTTTTGCTACCGGGCAGTTTTGTGTTCAGAGCGAGTGATTGGACATCCTTCATGGGCAAGCATTCTGTCTCAGGTGATGCTTTCCAGAATGCCGGCAACCTCACACTCACTCAGGTGAACTTTTAAAATGACCTGTATACTGTCTGCAGTGAAGCACCTTAACATCCATACTAGCTACTACCATCCGGTGAGCCTATAGACTGTATATAAATGAGGTCCATCTAGTCACCATGATGTCACCCATTCATTTGAGCCCAACATTTTAGATCCTCACAATCTTGATTGATTCTGTCTTCTTTTTCCAGTTAGCAGAGATGCCACCTGCTGGCCTTTAGAAAGTATGAAGGTTTAAGCTGTATCCTCAGTACCTTGACTTTTTAGATGCACAAGCTACATCCATCATTTACCTACAGTGTGTGTCTTAACAACTCTTTATGTAAAAGCGTAGATGGTGTTAATGCACATGCTAAAGAAAATAAAAAATAAATGGAAAACAATAAAGGTTCATATTCTATAAGAGGCTAAAAATCACTGTCTCGCTGTGTTTGTAAAAACATCAAAGGAATTTGGCATGAAGGCAAAGGCAGACTGCAACACTGTAAAAGACGATGTGGCTTTCACACATGCGATTCTCTTTTTTCTCTTTATGAAAACATGTTTTTGAAGCGTATGGATTTCCATGTTTTGATTTAGAGAAGTGTTTGTTTTGTTTGCTTTGCTCTTTTGTTCTGTGGTTGCTCAGTTGTTTCTTTTGTTAAAAATAGATTTTGAATAAATGGGCTGAAGGGTCCATCTCGCACTTTCAGATGTCCTACAGAATGACACAAAATACACAAAATAAACTGCACAGACCTGAACCGAGGAAACTTTTTGGTTTCGTAAAAAACATTAAACTTATCCGACACATTCAAACCACACCGTGACTGCGTTAATAACCACGATCCTTTTGGTCACTATAACTGTGATTTGAAATGTTTATATCATTTCATCTTTAACACATAGAAACACAGTGTGACCCACATCTATGGTATAGTTGTCTGCATATCCCAGTGACAGTTTTATCAGTTTCACATTAAACTGTCTGAAAGAGCCTCATGTATATTCATCCTCTCTTTATTCATAATTGATGCCCTGAGCCTACCAACAGTGCTGATGCCGGACAGGCATATTGTCTGGGGAATTCAGCCTTTCCTGCTGTTTTTATAACTAAGTACAGTATTCTTCCTTTTGCTTCTAAACTATTACATTCAGTGGCTGAATTATACAATATTATCTGTTAAGGATCATTGCTAATGCACTGTACCTCTTTGCATATTCTCTCCAAACAAGAATAGACAGCACACACGTAACAGCTGAAAAGATGTGAAACAAACCATCTGGACTACGCATATTACAACAAAATTGTGGACCAGTGTGCGTGGATAATGGATTATGCTTTCAAAATCACTTAATGTTGATCCTTTGATCACTAATGTAATCTGTTATATGTCACCATTCTGGATGCTGACCAACAGGAAGAGAAACTGAGCAAGGACTTTGATTGACTTTACTGTGACCTCCAGCCCCTGCCCTTCAACTCTGTCTGTTTGTCTCTCAGGGGTCAATACAGGTCAACTTCCTCATTAATCACAAAGCCAGCTTTGCCAACGGACTCGCAGCACATTGGTGCACTGCTAAGAAAGACCACCCGTAAATTAAGAGTCAAGTTCACTCTCCATTGGTGGAAAAGCTCCACAGCTCCGCCGCTGAGGTGCTTTCTGAACAGAAACCAGGTTTGGCTTCTGAACGTCTCGTTCACGCTGCTAAAAACAGAGGCAACAAAGAAGTGACCTTAAGGAACTAAATGAAAATGACATAACAGCTGAAAGCATCAGCAACAAGATGACAACAGATGCAGTCTCAACAGCTTTAAAGTGTGAAAATCTGTAATCAAATAGATCTCATGACAGCACGGAAATCTTACGCTACACTGAAATCTTTCTTGCACAATCAGCTGTTCATTCCCAGCCATAATAACACACTAAACTAAGTGTCTCGTGGTATATTTAGACCCACGACAACTGCATGGCACACCATATGCATTTCCTTTCATTCCCAAAGGCACACATGACACCCATGCTCCTTAACGCATGCATGCGTGTTCTCATTCTGTGCTGTAGTACCTGAATACTGTTATCAAAACAAAAATCACACTCACCATCAGGCTCATGAACAAGAAGTGTTAGAAGGAGAGAAAAAGCAGAGTCTCACCAGTGAGAGCTCGTCCACAGGAGACACCACGGCACGCAGGCGAGAGAAATGTGTCCGCCTGACGAAAACCCTACGAGAGCAGCCTGCCCGTGCTCCAAATCAATTTCACACTCTCTCACCTCCCCGCCACTGTGATGTCATTCATTCATCCTCTTCCCCTTCCCCGTAGCCATGGTAACTATGCCGCTTGGAGCTGATCATTCTTTTACATCTGTCTTTCTATCTCCCTCTGTGTCCCTCCCCCTCTCCAGACCTCGCTGAGCCCAGCCCACTCACTCCATCTGAGGGGTGCAGTTACACCCCTAGCCTCACAATCATCCACCCCTTCTTTCTATTCCCCACTATGCTGCTCTGACAAATGAGGAGGAGGGACAAGGAGAGGGGAGGCGCCTGGATTTGCTTCATGTAGTGTGCCCTGATGAGTTTGTGGCCAAACAGGGATAGTTTGCCAAGGAGACCCATAAAGACAGAAACCGGCTACAAAGCCAACTGCCAGACAAAGGAGACAAAACAGAACGACATGAGCTGTGTTTTTGGAGCCAGACACACCGAAAAAATATAATGGAGGTTAAATGCTCACACACAGGTGTGTCTGAAACCCCTTAATGTGCTCACACACATAAACCCAAACACTTAGTCCTGTAATGTGGTGGTGATGAATAGTTAAGGGCTATCACCATCATTACTACAGAGCTGCACTGGCAATAATCCCCACAGTGACCTTGGATTTTCCCCTTGTTAACATTTGTTTTTTTCTCAAAGCATCTTTTCACAATTTCCACATGTCCATTACAGCCTTATTTTAGCCATTTCACTGTTAGGTTCTACTCACCTACCCACCATGCTGCTGATTTAATATTCTAAATCTATCTTCCTTCATCTCCAAGCACACATGCTTTAATTCTCACCTGCAGAACTGGGAGAGCCACTGAAAGGTATGTAACAACAACACATATAAGAAGGAAGGAGTTAAAAGTCAGAGACAGTAATGGTTAAAAAAAAATCATACATCTACAGTCACTGAAAAGACTGTAATCATGAGAAAGACAAAGCAGACAGCAACATGGGGGAAAGTAATTATAATACCAAGAAAAATAGAAATGCTTAAAGTAGATACAGAGAGAGGAGGGTACCTCTGAAAGGGGAGATCTCCTCTTTGCTGCATATCTTCACACATCAGCTGTTTTTAATTAGCTTCCTGTGCTTTCCTCCTGGATAATCTCTCCATCTGTCCGCATCAGTCCTAGTCTGTCACTCTTAATCTCTGAGTCGCTGCTCATATAATTAATGGGGGTCTTACCCAAACACCAATACAGTACCTACTGTTTGAGCTTATTAAAGTAATTATTGTCATAATTAACCTAAATTACAAATTGACTGATCCATTACCCTGAGAGGTGGCGCAATAAGAATTTGTATTTTACACATACATATGCAGAAAGCATACTATAAGCCTACATTAAGTGAGGGCAAGACATTAAAATGAAGGTTTACATATTGCACAACAACTCATTGCTGTTGATCCAATTTAATATTTCCTCAAACTGGCTAAGTAAGGCTAGAAAGCTAGCTGTCTTTTTAGAGCAATATTGTCGATCATCCCAAGACTTTGTTAATAACAGTACAGAAGTTTTAGCACAAAGACAAAAAAACTGCTGTTTAACTTCATTATCACCCAGTTACATCCCATCACTCCTAATTTAATGGTAAAGAATGAATTTAGCAATGTTTACAAAGTTAGCACCTAGCTACAAGTGATGCCATGGTATTATAAATGTTCCAGTTGCCTTACCTTAACAAAATTAAAAAATTGTAGTCATGACCACACTTGTTTTCACTTAGAAATGTAATTGTTCTGAGGTTGTGATGCTGAAAGCCCAAGGAGCTGCGAATTAAGTATTTTGGGTAAACAACATCTCAGGAAGTTTTAGAAAAATAGCAAACCTCCAATATTGTGGTTGTTCATGCAATTAGCTAGTTAGCACTATTTCCAATGAACATTTGAAAAATCTTGAATCTAAAGTCTAAAGTAAGCAACCAATGACTAAAGCAATATAAAGATTTTTTTTATGCTAATGGCATAAAAAGGCATAGCAATTTTTCTCCATCGTAGTAGCTTTAACAATGGTGTTATTATTAGCTTATGCTACATATGTCTGTAATGTAATGTAGCTTGAAAGTCTTAAATGCTGATTTGAAATTAGACCATATGACTTATCTGAAGAAAGATTTAAACAAATCCTATTTTTAATTATCCCTAATTTTACTAATACATAAAGCGTGACTACATGATTTTAGTTTGTTTTCCAATTACTATAAAGGTCAACACCTTTGAATGCAAGTGCTGTGTGACAGATAGACTTTTCTTGCAGGGATTTGAATCCATTTCTTTTTTCATAATGAACTGCTTAAACAGGGACAAGAAAAATGAGCTGATTTAATTAATTTACTTAATTAATAGTTATCATGTGTTTCATGTGACAAGATTAGACACCCTCACAAAGCCGCAAAATGTTCCTCTAATCAGTCTCTCTGAAATGTTTTCCTTTTAATATTCCACTGTCTCAGTGATCACAAAATGTTATCACTTCCCTATACCAGCCTGTGCTGTTCAGTCTAAGGCTACATAGGCAATGATATGAACTTCTAACACTTAGCTTGTACTTAAAATCCTTTATTGCACTACCTATTATCACCTCCTGCCACAGATCGTGTGCGACTATGGCTTTAATTAAATCACACACTCTGTAGTCTGGTGTAAGGTCAACTGGAAAATGTAAGAGAGAGTAAGGGAGTTATAACATGGAGACAAAGTAAAAACAAAGAAGGCAGGTGGGAACGATTTAGAGGTTGTTACATTTTGGATTGGTAGTTATACAAAGGGATGCAATTACAAGATCAATAAAATAAAAAATAAAAAAACACACTTTTAAAACACACACGTACTAACACAAACACTCTGGGAGCATGATCCCGAAGCAATTTCTTCCACATTATGGTATGAGACATTGCTTTACAGAGACGTTTTCCTTCATTTCAGACCTCTTATCTGTACCTGCAGAAATGAACAGATATTATGATAACACTAACTGGGATCTTTTATCACCCTTTCCTCCACACTTTCTTTTTACCAAACACATTATCCTTCACCTCAAATCCTCTCTCCTTCATTTCACTCCAGCTTTGCTGTAAGTGATCCTTTTTCTCAAGAATTTAGGTCACACACTCTGCTTTTTGCCTCACTTCTTTTGCCTCACTTCTGTCGATAATCCTCGATCTTTCATTCTGTGGACAACAGTCTAAGGAGGATCTTCAGGAGATCAGCGTGATGGAAGTAGGAGTGTATTGTAGCATTGTCAAATGGGGCATCATGCCTCATTAGCTAATGCCTTAATTTGATTAAGGTTAAATGTGAGTGATGACATGTTTGAAATCAGACACACAAACATCACAGCTAGACATTATCTTTCATCTCAGCAAAAACTCCCCCCATGGCTCCTTGAATAGATCAAAGCGGCGTTTTTAAAGGGAATACTTAACCAATCCTGTTCAAATCATTAGCATGGCTCTGCTGATGCACTCACACTCAGCGCTCTAATATCAGCCACTGTAGCTACAGGCAAAAGAACCTGGTAGGTGGACAATTATTTATGTGCAACGGCAGAGGGTCCACTTGTCCATACGATGGCAGAAATGGAGTAGCCACATTTTACGCACCTGCCTTCAAACAATTTTCAGACAGGCAAGCGAAACAGCTACTTCATGAGCTGTTCTCGCAGCCTCTCTTTCCATCCTACTTGTTTCTTCCTGCTGAGAAATGCATTCATCATCCTCCCTCTGCACCATCCAAGCCATGTTGCACAATCGAGCGATCTCAGCTCCCATTCCTAAATTACCTTCATAACATTAAAGTATCTGCAGGCTACTTATGTGTTGTTCTTTTCTCTCTGTGGGGGGGAATCCAGCAGTGTTAACTGTGGTTTTCACATAAGATAAAGCTATCCTACTCTCGTCACTCGATCAGCTGATGAAAGGTAATTCATAAATACATGTAGCAAAAGCAAGTCCTGGCAAGCCCAGACATCGACCCTGACACTGATGTCCCTTTATGACACAGTGTCCAATTATAGGAAGTGAAACAAAGTCTGCAAGGCCACCAGTCACATACCAGCAGCGTCACGCCTGTATTACTGTGAGGAAGTCTTCTATATAAAGTGAGATCACATAGAGGACAGCCTCCATCTCCTTAGGGCTTAGTCAACCTTTGTGTCAGCTGCTGCACCTGTTTAGCATTGAACCCATGCAGACTGCTTTGATGATATTGTTTCATCAGATGGGGGAAAATCTCAGACAAAAGGTTTGGATCCAATCCAAAGCCTGCTGCAGGAATTCCTCTCCTAAAAACACGCTTTTGCTGCTGCTGATGCCACGAGTGCTTTTCACCACCTGTCATTAACTTTAGCTGCTGTTTGAAGCAGCTGTCCAATCCTATGGGTTTTACTCATAAGAATAGCAGTTTTCAGACGGTTTCATCCCATTCTCAAGCTTATTTTCCAATTCAGGCTCATGATCTATAAGATGAAGAATAAAGCACTTTTCCCCAAAAATGTTGCTTCCAATTCTTTAGGAAATTTGTGCCGAGTACCAAAAAGATGAAAAATGTGATTTCTGATTGGATTTATTAGCTGCTATTATTATAGCACACCCGAATACAACCAAGGTTTCATAGCTGGAGTAAAGCTTTGGCAAGGGAGAGGGCAATAACTCTTTTTTTAACTGTCATTAATCTGAAAATACAGGAATTTGGTGAATTTACTGTTGTTCAAACAAAAGAAACAAACAAATAATGAAATAATTATCATAGATCAGGAATCTTTTCAATCCTGATAATGTTAGTAAACAGTCCTTTTCTTTACAACACACTCCTAATATTGCACATTTCCATCTCAACTCATAATTCAAATAAATAGCACAGTTGCTCTGGATTACAGCTGGCAGCAGTCCAATTTAATCCATGGCATTCCCAGATGAACCCCCTCTACCCCCTCTTTTGCCTGCCCAGTCAGCCTTCTGTCCTCTGACCTCAGGCGCATGAAA